CGTCGTCATAGCTGCTTGGAAAGTGGTTGGGGCATTCGTAAGGCCAAATGGCATGACCAGCCATTCGAAATGCCCATACCGAGTCTTGAACGCGGTCTTGTAGCGATCCTCCTTGCGAATCTCGAGTTGGTGGTACCCTGACTTGAGATCCAACTTAGAGAAGAACTGGGCACCGCCCAATCGCTCGAGAAGGTCGTCGATGCATGGGAGAGGGCCGGCGTTCCTGATCGTCTGCACGTTGAGCTTGCGATAATCGATGCACAACCGCAGGTCCTTGTTCTTCTTCCGGACGAAGAGAACAGGAGCACCATATGGCGATGAGCTAGGCCGAATCCAGCCTTTCTCTAGAAGGTCGTCGAGTTGTGCCCGAAGCAGACTTAACTCTTCCTCTCTCATTCGGTAGATGCAGTTGCGCAGAGGTACGGTCCCGTCCTCGAGGATGATCTCGTGGCGGATGGGTCGATCCGGTACTACTCCGTGCGGACCTTTGAACATGTCGCTGTAGGCGTCGAGAAGTTCGGTGATGCATGGATCCGAAGGTGAGTCCGTAGATGAAGCGTCATGTGGCGGGAGGGCGTGGAGAAAACACACCCCCATCTCCTCGATGTCGTCTCTGATGATGGATGCTCGCATGCTTGCGGCGGATACCACGTGGCAGCTGATCGAAGGATGAGGAAGAGGCACCGTGCATGGAATTAATACTCCGTTTCGATCACGAACGTGAACGGTGCGGTTGAAGAAGTTCACCGGGTGATCCTTGCTTCGCAGCCATGACATGCCCAAGATCATGTCGAATTTGGTGTCCAGAATCTCAAAGGACACCGCCTCACTTGCGTGAGGGGCAAAGTACACTGGGACAGCGTTAATGCACCGGTCGATGGACTTGTGCGTATGACCGTTTGCCAGGGTGACTTGCGGAGGCTGGGACTTCCTCCGGACACGTGGGCCAAGGCCGACGCGTACCATGAAGTCCTGGCTGATGTAGTTGCGAGATGCTCCGCAATCGATCAAGGCACTGCAGGTCGCCTCTCCAATCTGAACGCGTATGTATAGCAATGGTGCGTCGATGTCGTCGTACCGTTGCGTCTTGAACTCGCGGTCGATCTTCGCGATGAAAGCGTGAAGGTCGACAACCTCTGCTCCGGCGTCCATCAACGGAGCTGGTACTGCAGTGTGCAAGTAGTCCTGCAATTGTGCAATAAGCACGTTGCAATGCGGTTTCGGCAATCGTCCGGTCGAGGGAACGGGCATCCACTGGAAGTCCGTGTACGTCAACGGGTCGAGCTCATCAAGTCTTGACCATGACGTCGAATCCCCGGCGATAGATTGCGTCGAAGCTGCCGAATCGGTTGCCGATGGTGATGAAACCGTGCATGCGGTGGACTGTTGCACGTGGAGCGGTTGGTCCAGCGGTGGAACCAAGTGGACCGCATAATCCTCGTAAGTATACCGAGKACTTGCGACATTCGCATCCTCCCCAGATGTGCAGGAGGCCGCTAGCAAGGCGGCCGAATCTGGCGGAGTAGAAGGTGGAGTCGCCTCACCTTCCGCGGAGCTCAGTTTCCCGAGTTGAGGCGGGGTCACACATCCTCCTTGCCCTGATCTTGGCACAGGGAGGTCTTGTGCTTGGTGYTGTTGCACCAATAGCAGCTGCCGTAGCGGCCGCGGACCTTGTACTCCGCCTCGGTCAAGCCAAACTTGACCCATGGAAACTGTCCTGGCTGTCCATTTCCGGCCTGCGATGCGGATTTCGCCTTCCCATTGTTGCGAGACTTGTTGGTGCTTCGCGGATGGACAGCGGCCACCTGATCTCCGTCACTTGATGCTGGAGTGGCTGCTGGGTTATCTCCAYTGTCCTGCTGGACTGCAGCGAAGTGCAGCTGTCGCGGACCAGTTCGTACCTTCTCCACATAGGTCGGCTGCCATGATGTTGATTTCTCGTGTGCAGCTGACCTGTTGGTCTTGATGATCTCCCTCGCTTTGTCAATGATCTCCGCGAAGGTTGAGTATTGCTCGCGATCACCAAGAGCCAATGCCGCACAAGACCTGTTGTAGAACTCACGGCGTAGATGCTCGAATGGTAGGTTCAGATTGGGCACAGCCGCGATCTTCTGCCACTCCGTGAGCCAGTCCCGTGTTGCTGTGTTGCCCTGTGACATGGTAACAAACGGTTGATGGCGAGTGCCGGCGCGTCGTCGACGATGAACGGCTTCTTCCACAGCCGTGTCAGGTGGCTCAACCAGGTCTGGCATCCGCCCTTTGAGTTCAGGAACAGGGCGCCAATGTACGCATGCTTGGCTACGGGCAGAATCCTAAGTTGCGTTGTGAATGCTTCCCACCAGAGGACGGGATCTTGCTGCGTGTAGTCGTCGAACCTCTCCAGGTTGAAAGTTGGCATCTTGTACATCTTCGGATTGTCGTCCGCGTTCATCGACTGCAGCTTCTGGACCTCGGTCTTCAATGTATGCAGCTGAATGCTGATGGTGGATGTCGCCGAGCATTGCCACTACGTGGTCAACGCGGTCCTCCAGTTGGCGGCTTGAGGGTGCACTGCTGGAAGCTCCGGCAGCTGGTCCTGGTACAGCCTGTTCCAGGTCCAACAATCGAGCATTGAGTGCCCGAGTTGCATCCTCGTGGCTCTGCACTGTGCGGCGGAGCGTCGCCAACTCCTGATGCTGTTGCGTCAGGTCCCGGTACTGTCTCTCCAACTCTGCCCTTTGGTAGTTGCAAGCATACAACAACCGCGTCACGAGTTTGGAGAGGAACTCCTTGTGCTTCTCTTCCGGTGTTGCCTCGTCGCCGTTCG